CACACATTTGTTGTGAAAATGCAGCTACAAATGTACTTTCTAAAGGAGATAAATGTTTTCTACGCTACAGAACCGAAAGCCCTGTGGCCCCAGCCAGCTGCTGCTGTGTGAACAGAGGTTAGCTGCACGTTAGGAAGGAGACCAAGCTGTGAACGGAGGGGTTCAGTGAGGGGGACTGAATCTAAAAAGTTTGTTTACCGCAGCATTCGGATGCTTTGCCCCCCACCTCCCTTCTGCTTTTTATCCAGTAAATCAATTTGCTTGCTTTGTGCCGCTCAAGGAGTTGTGCTTATGAGAAAAAGATGCTGTCTGCATGCAGATTCCTGCCTCCACACACACACACGCACGCACACGCACACACACACACCCAGACAGTCTGGTTCATCAACACAATGACAACAGGGTGGAGGTTCTCCCCGTTTCTTATGAGTTTTACTTTGTCATCCGGCTCTAAGAACGTTCAGTTTTGACGACGCGCGCGATTAGTGTTTAATAAGATCGTCCTACATCGTGTGCAAGAATACTACGCCGTCGTAAGGAACACCAAACCTGCCGTTACTTGTTGCTTCTCAACATGTGCTGAATGCTGATTCTTCATGATTAGACAGATGGCTGTACGAAGCGTTTGACAGGCAGAACGTCGACTTGCTCATTTCCATTTTTGTTACTTGGAAGTCGTCAGCAGCGAGCCGATCAGACGCTCCGGCCTGGTTTTGTGTGTTTTGCGTGTCATGAGTTTATGTTTGGGTTTTCTCTTTGATGTGCGCAGCTTTAATGAACTCGCTCCAATATTGTACTTCCTTCGCAGCGAGGCTTTTTCACATTCTGTTTCATCAGCAGCTTTATGATGCTTTATTAATCTGAAATGTTGCTAACGAAGCTCCTGTTACTGGAAAATATTGAGTTTTTGTGTGACAAATATTGAGTTTGTGTGACGAGGGCTTTGTGGATCAACTTGTGTGTCTCTGCTCTTGTTGTGAGGGGCGTTCTGGTTTCCACACAGTCTGGAAAAGTCCAGAATTTGGTTGTTGGATTCAAAATGGAAAAAGAACTTGCAACGTTTTATTTTTTATTTTTTTTACATCCAGATGTTAATCTTATTGTCTAAAAGTTTTTTCCATCGGTCACTCCGTCCAGAAAAATGTTCATCCGCTAATTAGTTTCTCACCAGAATGTCTCAACGAACCGATGGAAGAGGATTATCAATTTTAAAAACAAAAATCTGCTTTTATTCATATTTTATGAAACAGTGGTTTTTCTAAAATTAGTCACAACCTTTTCAATAGTTAATGGAAAAAAAAACCCAAGCCTTTTTAACATTACAGCCGTCCACTCCTGCTTCTAATTGTTGAGCAGCTGTTTTGCTTGATGCCTCTGGTATTTTCAGCAGCTTTCTACAGTGATTCATTTCTGAATGGTTGATGTTGGAAGGCCTCCTTGCCATGACCCTAATGTTTCGCTGGCCTGGTCTCGGCAAAACATGACTTGCAGTCAGAAGAGTGAGCAGCAGATGTTGTTTTGGATTTGGAGCTCGGAGAAAATCGAGTGACATCCACAGACATCAACAGATGACGAAGCTGCTGCTCTTGGCTGCTTGGGTTCATTTATGCTTCAAGGAACGATGTGATGGGACAACGGAGGAGATTATTGTTACAGTCAAGTTGTGCTTGAAGGAGTTAGCCCATCAGCTTAGCTATTCAAGGCTAAAATAGCATCTCAATGCCAAACAGACCCCCACACTAGTGTCAGCGTCCATAGTTCACATTTTTAGAGAAGGATTTTTTTTTTTTTGAAGAAGAAGTTTCTGAAACACTGGAAAACTGAATGAATATAGAAGCAATTTTCACTAATCTGATGGTTGAATAACCTCATTATCAGATTAAAAACAATAAATATCTGTTGTTGAGCTCATACGTCTATTTATTTATCTGGATACCGTGTAAAACAATTTTGAAGTGTTTGGGTTTTTTTTTTTATCGAATCCCACCACTACATACTGCTGCTATCTCTTCACCTCTGTTTTTGTAAAAACAGACTCTTTATTGTTAGAAAATGCAAAATTAGAAAGTAATGATCCAATAAATGGAAGGCACTGATCGGTGCGGCGCCACTGGGCTTCCAGCCGGCTTGCCCGATATTTCTGGGAGCCGTGCTGGCTTCATCACCGCTGGCTGTCAGCCGGGGCGTAATGACAGGCAAACACGGCACCGCAGGTGTGACATGCTAAACAGCGAACTGCTGTGATCCTGATTGGTCTTGTTTAAGACCAGTCAGGATGCTGGGAATCTGAAATATCACTTCATAACAAATATTGATGGCTCTTTTTGTTAAAGGAAAAAAACCTGAGGATGATGGGGCTCTCTTTTGCTCAGCTGTTTGGAGCTGAGAAGTCTGGAACTGTTGCAAGAGTTTAAGGAGGGGTGGATGCGCTCGACGAAGAGAATCTGTCTGAAATACGTTTTCATCAAGTTTTACCGCAGAGAGAGAGAGAGTTTGCTTCAGGCTGCTACTGTAACCCTTAGAAAGGATATCATTCTAGGTGTCGCATTTAGGAGAAAGGTGCTAACATGTCAATAAGCCCATTTGGCAGCCTCACAGAGGATGGAAGCACTCAGCAGATTAATTGAAAGCTGTCAAGAGGTTCACCAGGGGGACCGGCGGCCTCTCGCTGCACAAATATTTTATGTGCGATTCCCACTGTCAGCTCGCTCCTCAGCTGGAATTGCAGCAGCTTGCACCTTGCTTCTGTCATCCCAACTCTTTTTTTTTTTTTTGCTTCTTCTCTTTAATGAGACGAAGGCCAGAGGAATGCGTCATGGCATTTGCGATTGTTGGTTTTGTCTACAAACAAAACCGGAACCACGCACACATCAAGCCTCTTTGGTACAGTTTGAGTTGAAGTGCCAGCAGACAGAAATGATGATGATCAATAGTTGACGCTTTTTTAAAACACTGTTGAGGTTCTTTGGATTTTCTCCAACTAGATCTGATTTCTGTTGTTCTTTTGACTGCAGTGGATGATGTCTGAGTTAGTAATCAGGTATTTTGACAGTTTGGGTTTCTTTACTTTGACAGTCAGTGATGGTAGTGCTCCGTCTCATCCGTTTGTCCTGATGTTGCCCACGCGGCGGCTCTTTCAGGTCAAGCTCCTCTTCCTCCACTCTGATTCTCCTACATCATCGTCTCTTTGTATTCGTTAGCTTCTGTTTCTTGTCCTCCTCTCCATCCTTCCGTAATAACCTCTGCTCCTCCTCCTCCGTTGGCCAGCATCCATGTTATAAATCAAAAGGAAATGAGGATGGGCCGCTGCCTCGCACTGTTACAAAATGCATAATTACCGGAGTGAAGTTGGACGGTGCTGGCTGTGTGCTTTGTAATGGATCGGATTCGTAAAACTGCTTTTTGCACAATCGTATTTCTTTGTTTCGTCATTTTTTGACAATTTAAAAAGAAGTTTTGATTGTAAGACTTTGATTAAAAACGTTTCACCCCTTTTCCTGAATCCTCTGTAAAAGGCCTACAACGAGCTGTGAGTTCTTGATTTCAACTAAAGCTGCAGTATTAACCCCTAATTAATACTAGAGGTGGTCCATAAAAGACGCTGGTGACCGTTTGGTCGGAAACAGAAAAATGGTGTATATTTTTCCAACCAGTGAATGCACCGTGCATAAGTGCTGCCACTACCACACTCTATGACTCAGTATCAATGAAGTGTTTAAAATGATGTCATGGAAACAAGCCGCACCTTGTTCCTTCTTCCTTGAGTCCATTTTCTGAGACACATCTAGACGTCTCATCAGGATTCAAAGGAAACAGTTTCTTAATCTTCTAATCCTCTTCTGTATCTTATATGATTTTATTATCAGGATGGACTTAGAATAGTACTGCCAGGTTAAAGCTTTACCACAGAAAAGAACAGAACATTGAGGGGTGCCTCTCCTGTTCAAGATTGGAAAATAAATTAAATGTTAAAAAAAAAAAAAAAACTTTGAAAAAGCAGAAATCAAACATCCATATTTGGACCGCTGGAGTAAGATTTTATACCATGAATACTGTTGCCACTTAAAACTCAACTCCCCTGATTTGTTATTCACAATTACAGCAGAATTTGTTGTTTTTTATTCCTAAGGTACCTGCAGCAAAGAGGTGTGATCCGCTCACTGCTGTCTCCTAAGTCTCAAAGCTAAATTGATGAAGACTGGATAGCATTTCAAATCTCCAGGTCCTTTTTGAAATAGATTCTCTGCTGGATACAGAAAGTTTCTCTGTGTCAAAAACAAACTGAAGCTGAAGTCGCACGCAAACAAACTCGGTCGGCGGATTACACGCTCCTGTTTACTGAAATTCATCAAACTGCAACCACATTCCTTTGTCTGTTTTTATGTTTTTCAGCCCATTATATTTCCAAAAACAACTCTGTGGTGCTTAATGGGAAGTGAAAAGGAATGAAATGTGGCTTTCAAAAAAGAAAAACTCTGAGAAGTTTTGACCTGGGCTGCATGTCCTCGGTAAAGATGTTGGGAGTTTCATTGCAGGCTAAACATTTCGAACTCATATTGGAGACACGTAAACAATTGATGAGACACTGATCAGGACAAAAACCCATCACCTTTGCCGACATGCTCCCTCTGGGACTTGCACAGCGGCCACTGCCGCATCGTACTTGATTAGATTCCAAATACTTAGTCATAAATCACCCTGATTGGTAGCAAATCAAATCCTGACTGAGGCCGTCTTCGTACATATCTCTGAATGTTCTCAATTAAGGTAGATCATGCAAATGTCTGACAACAACAGACAGTGAGCTGTTCCAGGAGGATTGAGCAGGTTTCCAAATAAGTCTCAGCCTTTAGGGAGACGCCGTGTTCTGACACATCGACTCAGCAGCTGTCCGCGTTTCCAATCGCCATCAAAGATGCTTGAAGATTGGACAACATATAGTCGTTTATTTACCTGCCACTTACCTTTTTTTTTTCTTTTTCTTTTTTCTTTTCTCCTAGCAACTGCTGAGGGAGATGCAGCAGATGGCCAGTCGGCCTTTCGCCACCATCAACGTGGCTTTGGAGGCGGACGAAGAGCCGCCTGACCTGATAGGAGGAAACGTCAAGGTGAGCGTAACGTTGTCTCAATGAAACCTCAGCTCAGCCCAGCAGTCGTATCTTTTGGCACTGAACAGGCCGTGAGCAGGGGAGCTCCTTCTGTCACTGTCCTATCGGACAAATGAACCGGAATTGGATTAAAACGGACCAACAAGGGCTGAGGGGATTTCTAACTTTTCATGCGAGTTAAACATTAAACTGCAAAGCAGTAGGAACCTTTTTTTTTTTAATTTTTGGTTTAAACCTGTTCATTCTGGGTTGGGTTTGCCACTTGATTTGAGGTGAAAGCCGGGACAAGATATACCTGGGGGAGCTTCTACTTCCCCAGCAAATCTGAACTTTAGGGGTTGATTTGATGCTAACTTTTAACTACCAGATATATGCGGTGGAGCTGAGTAAAAGTGAAGTTTTTCTTTTTTTTTTTTTTCCATAATTTATCCTCTTTTAACTTTGGCAGAGTTACAGGAATTGCAGCGAGGCTTTTGGTGGGCGCGGAGCCGCAGGCGAGCGTACCTGTGACTGTGCACCTAGTGATGAACAGCCTCTGAATGCAGATGTGCTGTGGAATTACAGGGGCTGTTTCTAGAACGGTGGCTCGGGGCGGGGGGCCCCGGCTCTGACAGGGCCCATGCATCTCCAGGGATTCGGCTCGGGAGCACAAGGTTACTATGGGGGCCTCCTGGGAAGATCAGCGAGAGAGTTGAACGCTTGAGGAAAAACCGTTTTTTGTTTTTTTTTCTTTTAATGTCTGAACTCGTCTCTCTCCTGTAGACATTTTGTCATCCACTCCTTTCAACCTTCTTCCTCTTTTCCCTCCCCAGCTTCTCTTCACTTCCTTTCCCACTTTCTACTCGTACATTTTTTTGGAGTTGTCTGATTTGAGGCATCCTTTCCCGTCCTGTGAGACTCATCTACTTTGTGTTTCCTGGATTTGTCTGCGGCTGTATCTTTGGCTTGTGAAAATCACTGGATGTTTTTTGATGTTTGGTTTGCCTCAGGTTTTTTTTTTTTTTTTGTTCGTTTGTTGTTGTTTTTTTTGCTGTTGCTGAGTCGCGAACGTGAACGAGAAATAAATTGGTATCATTTATTTTCCCTGAATGGATTCCCAATTTGTACAGCAAATAGTGTTGTTTTGAGAACCGATCCCGTTAGTCAATGAAATGCAAACAAATCTGAGATTGTTCTGAAATGTAAGTTTTCTTACTTTATCTCTGTCAGTTTCCCTCCTTCGTCTTGGTTTCCATTAGTGTTGCTGCTCTTCTCGTCTTCTCCTACAGATCCGTTTTGTTGCCGATGAATGACCTCCCATGACCTCTGGAAACATTTCTTAATATCTTTACAATGATAGCGGCACAAATGACAATTTTTGCTGCAGAAAGATTTAACACACATTTTGTGATGTGAAGTTGGTAACTCTAGTTGTGTGTAGAATACCAACAAATATTTGCTGACTTTTGGAATGCAGACGTCTTTGTCTCTTTCCCGGTGTCTTCTCTCCTCTCTTGTCTGTCATCTCTTATGTTTTCCTCTAATTTACGCTCCCTCCTGGCCCTTATCAGTAGCTTGGACTTCCCTTTTTTTTGGCCTTGTCTGCTAGTTCTTTGTGTGCGATGTTCTTTTCTTTATTATTATTATTTTTTATTTTATTTTTTTGCAGTTTATATGAGTTGCTCGGGCGTCGTTCTGTGCGCACACATTTGCGGTTTGTCAAAAAGAGAAAAAGATGAAACTCGCTGTTAAATCCAGCCGGCCTCCTCCTCCTCCGTCCTTTGCATTACCTTTTCTTCTCCTGGCTCTAGACCTCTTTCTTTTTTTTTCTCGCCTTTCTTCCCAGCCTGCTCTCCTCCTCTCCATCAGGGCTAAAGCAGCCCAGGAGCAGAGATCCAATTTAGATCTTCCTCTTCAGCTTTCTGTGCCACCACCTGCTCAGACTGTGAGTGCGCTCTATCCTATCTCCTCCCCAACTCGGATTGAGCAGCATCGGACGCGGGTTATTCCCCTTGTTTTCATGCCTGCTTTTTTTTTTTTTTATCAGGATGCCACGGTAGTATATTAAGACCCGCAATCAGAATGTATAAAAAGCCGAGAGCCGCACAGGGAGTTGAAAATCATTAAAGTTGTTTATGCTTTTCTGATGGAAAGTCCAAACTTGCTTCCTCAATGAGATGTCTACACTTGGTTTGTGCCAAATGAGGCCTGCAGCTCCAGCATCGCAAACAGATGATTACTTTTGTGACACTTTCTTCTCTGCTTTTATTCCAAGACACAGACGGTGACAAGAGGAAAGTGGGACGTGTGTGTGCGTGTGTGTGTGTGTGTGTGCGTGTGTGTGTGTGGGGGGGCAGAAAGAGGACTGTTTTTATCTGCCGTAATTGTGCTGTACTGTCAGCACCTTCACTCACAAGGTTCTGTTGAATTGTAGGGGTTTTCTACAGGGCTACATGTGTACATGCTTAAATGCCTTGAAGACTTCCCTTATCGATTCTCTATGCAGACTGGAGCTTTTTTTTTTCTCCATGTTTGAAAATGTGTGGATAGAGAAAGTAGTGTATGAGAAAATTATAGTTGGAGCCAGATATTGGCGTAGACGTTGATTTCTCACAAATAGTCTGTTAGAAAAGGTTGATGGAAACGCGGGACTTCAAATCGACTTCCACAATTTTGCAAAGAAGTTTTCAAGATCGCTTTTGGGTTTTCTGAAAAAAGAGTCGGCACGTTAAAGGAAACGCATAACAAACACTCCCATCCACTGGAGGGCCTATGCATGAATAATTGAAAGGAAATATGAACAAAACAATAAAGGAAAGAGCAAAACGAGAAAAAACAAACTAAAAAAAATATATGCATCGACTAAATGTTGGTTCTCCATATTTGATTCTCTGAAGAAGATGGTATCCAATGTTCATCTAAAGCATATAAACTAAATGTTCCTGTTCTGGATGTAGTTTTTCTAGATTCTAAGTTGGTTCTAATTCCTGTTCTGGATTGCAAGATAATTAAGTACTCCATAATTTATTAGGGATTTATTAGTTATTGGCGACCTTTTAAGATTTCGCTCAAAATTCACATGACAATTGGTCACTGTCTGAAGTTCAGTCAGACCAAACTTCTCTCACTTTAAGTTGGTTAAAATCACCAAAATTATTATTATTATTTTTTGTTGTTAAGCAAAACAATAATGGGAAAAAAAATTGTCAGATTTATTTATTTCAAAATCAGGTGTTTATATTCTCAATATGTGGTAGCATTTCCTTTTTACTGCATGACTTGAGCCAAAATGTTCTAGGCTTCCTTCCACAAGCTTCACATAATAGCTTGCTGCAGTTCCTCCTGCAGACTAGCCAGCAGCAATTAGCAAACATCTGCTGACTTCATTATAGGAGCTACCTCTCTCATGTTGGTTAAAAACATTGTTAAAAGGTTAATAAGAGGAGCCTTGTCATGAGGACTCACTAAAGGCAGAGTTTCAGAAAGAGCAGGAGCTTCTTAAAGAGACAGAGGCCCAATTTCAAGGCGTTAAGTTGCAAAGTCAATTTTATTTTAAGTCATATTTGGTATAAATAGCATTTTTGTAACAGCTGAAGGTAACATAGTTACTTGATTGTGCTATAAAATGACATCATGTGGCTGGAAAATACATCATACTGCTCCTTTAACATGCTACTGCAGGTGAGCCTCCAATGTGTCAGATGTTTCCAAAGCCCTCGTAGTTTAAAAACACAATAATCACTCCGTATGTAAACTTCTGACTTTGAAGACAGTAAAACGTAAATCTCAACTCTCTTTCTCTCATTCCTGTGGTCTTTAGCAAATTGAAATAATGTTGGCGATTCGAACTGCCCTAAGTAAGAGGGGACGGCGTAGCTGTCTGCTTATTCAGCTACACAAAGCGCCGCTGTCAGGTGTGTATACAGCTTGTTTTACCAGCTTATTGTCTTGCATAACTGGAGCTATCGTCGTAATCTCCCGACTTCTTGGCAAAGAAAAGGAACAAAAACTCCTGGAAGTTGCTTCAGTCTGTACCTGGTGAGACCCAACAACGCACTCTGGCTGCTGCTGAGGAACACGCGATGAAAGGCGAGCTTATTGTGCCCACATCAGTGCCTGCATAGATGTATTTGTGTGTGTGTGTGGGGGTGTATGTGCGTGCGTGCGTGTGTGTGTGTGTGTGTGTGTGTGCGTGTGTGGGCTCAGCAGCAATCCCACATGCTGCTGGGCTAATTACTGAAGGTAATTTAAGGAAACCTTTCGCCGCTCTGCCTGGCCGGTCTAGATAAGTCTCCAGAGTGGTGATGTTGGGGGTGGCGACTCGCGAGCGGCGGGCTGAAATCCTATAAAACAAAGGCATCGGCTGGGGAATGCTATTAAGATACAGGACCACCGGAAAAGACTCTACCTTTGGGGAAACATCTTAAAGAGAAAGAGCCAGCACAGAGAATTTAAAACAAGCAGGTAATTGAATTTTCTCTGGGTTTGATCCGCCCCACACTGAAGATGAAACGTGTGTGTGCAAAATGGGACGCAGAGGTTTGTTTTTCTAACAAATACGAATGCGAGTCGCCTGTTTCACAGTTTCAGGTGGAAATGGAACTTGTGGTTGTGTGGCGACGAGTGGAAGTGAATAAATTCCCACACCGTCTGAGAAGCAAGTCTCCAGTTCCAGATATGGTCCTCCAGGTCTTTTCATCTCCCATCTGCATATCTGCTGCTGGGAATAAAACAATGTGATGGGTGCATGTCAACTATGCAGTGGAAATGGGGTTTGGCAGACGAGCATTAAATCAGCCCTAAGCTTTGAAATGAAAACGCGCCAGCCTCTCCGCCTTTGCTCTATTCCACAAGGTGTGCAGGTTGGTTCCTGTTATCAGACACGGCTCGTTATTTTTCTAGTGTAAAGACGGTAAAGTGAGACGTACGTTTTACCCAAGGCCAAGCCGGGTGTGGAGAAGCAACCTAAACAGGCCAAGTTTTTTTTTTTTTTTTTTTGATAGTGTTCGGTTTAATACTTCCGCTTTTGAAACAAAATTAGCCAGCAGGGAGATTACAAAACCCGAGGCTAAATGGAAACAAGATTTTTTTTTTCTCGTTACTCTACTGTCAGTAAATATGAATGACTTGCCTGCACGGTGGTTTTCATAACTGAATATTATCATGCAGCTTTTGTCATATATCCATGAATTAATGTAGTCCACATATTTGTCCATCCTTCCATTTATCGCCGGTTCCAAAAGATACTCAATTTTGTCAAGTTTAGAAATTTTTTCCATTGGTCAAATTAGCTTTGGAAGCATTTTTTCTGCCTTATAAATCCTTATTAAACCGTTCAGGCCACACAGCAGGCCTGGTGAAGTTTTCGGGGGGCTTGGTTTCAACATATATTTTTTAATATGGTATCTCAAACATCTGCTGTTTCACTCATATTGAAATTTGTGTTATTTTCAAAATTACATTTTTTAAAGAATCTTCATTTTTAAAGTAAACTATTTTGACTGTGCATTTTTATGTTTTGCAATATGATTTATATATATTTTACATAATCAGCTTTCAAAACCTCCATATTTTTCTACTCAGGTGAGTTTAAGGCAAGGTACAAAAACCGTTTGACAAAAAGGACTGAAATTATTTCTGCTCTATTCTGGTAATACACTGAATAGAAAAATGCTTTTAGAGTACTAAAAATCTAAAGAAAAAAAAACCCTGACTGCCGGTGCCTGATTATGGCCTGGAAGACTGATGATATTCATAAAAGCGAGTCTGAACCCTGTCCTTGTGACTTAGTCATGTTAACTGGCCCTGGTGTTCGTTGGAGAACTAAAACAGAATGATTTTGTTAATAAAATCGTTTTTATTCAAGACCTCCGCTATAGATGAACCTTCTTAGCCCTTTTGATTTTCCCGTCAGACAAAGGTGGAAAGATGTCAGAGTTTCTGATGCATCTTTGCAGAAGTACATATTAGTACTTCAAATGAAAGTCAAATATTTGACCTTGGATATTTCTTCTTATTTATTTCATATTCTGTAAAACCTGGGATTGTGAAGTTTTGGAGGTTAAAAAAAAAAAGTTCATTTTCCTCTCAGAAGACCTCTGAGCCAATCAGAATTCACTTCAGGAGTTGAATTTTTCCCGCAGAGATGCTGCAGCATCAAATCATTTTCATCGGCTTCGGATTATTCCATTCTATTTCATGCTTCTAAATGACCGTTTGATGCTGTTAAAAAGGCCAAAGGAAGTAATTCGTCCAAACCACAATCGGAGGCGCCGCGTGAAAGACCATCAGGAAAAGGGAACAAAATGTTTTCCTTTAATGAAAACCATTAAATGGAAGATGGAGTCGTGTTTCCATTTTTGATAAGTTGGCTCGAAATCTTTCCTCCTCCGATTCAAAGGTGGCAGGATAAACCAGGTCTTCTCCAGCGGCTCCAGTTCAGCCAGTTCAACTAAACCTGACAAGAGCAAAATAAAAGACGATCCCAATGGAAGCTGGAGATGGAAAGAAAATCAAACACAGCGGCGACCCGCTTCTTAATTGAAGTCATTTGTTTACTTTAGTCAGACTCGTTCCTTCAAGTCAGGACGTCGTCGAATCATTTATTTATAACATTTCCACACATCAGGGGCCGAGCAGCGGCGACCGACTTTAATATCCGCCTGCTTTTGCGGCTCCAAGCGCCGCTTGGGCCGAGTTTCCATCCCAGCAGGAGCCCATTTGTCTGCAGCTGAACTGTTGACCTCTGTCTGCTCTGCGCACCGGCGCAGCTCAAAAGCGTTTCGAGCTCCGAGACGCGTATGGAGAGACATGCACAAATTGTTAGCAAGTGTCTTTGTTCAAAGATTCATGACAACAGAAGTTCCCAGCAGCTTACTGCAATCACTCTGCAATTACTCATGAGCAGAAAAAAGCAGGAGCCAATTTTTGACAAAAAATCTGTAATATTAATGTCTGGTATTTTGGGGGTGGTGGGGGTTTCATGCAAAAAATGCCTTCAGGGGATTTGTACACAAGCTTCAGCTTTTTAAAATGGAGAACAAAAATACACATGAAGAAAACGCTCCTTAATTTCTGAAATCATATTGTTGAACCACTTTGTCGGCATGGATTTAAGGTGTTTTCACACCTGATGGTCCGATAGACTCAACTAGGAAACCAACATTTGTTATGTCTTGCTACGTATCCAAACTAATTGAGAAAGCTGTTCGCCTCCTCGCCTGTGGTGGCGCTGCCGCAAGAACTACTGAGGGAAGCGTCATGAAAACCTCAGAAGAAAATCAGCGCAACTTCTTTCTTCACAAAATGCAAACAAAAATGGAGTGGCGTCAGATTTCAGCGGTCGTAGGATTTCTCCCGCTGGCTTTAGACTCACTCGTTTGTTTAGGTTCTATTGACCCAGAATGCCCTGGACTGTAGTCCACTTCCTGCTTTTAGAGCGAGCTCTATACATCAGAGTTTGATTACGCATTCTGAACTCCTTAAACGCTTTCTAGGCAAACAAACTGGAGTTTGATTAAAGGTGTGAATGCATGCTTTGAGGGTTTGGAGAACTTATTCAAATTCCCACAAAGTCCTTTTTTCTGCAAAATCCAGAAGAAATAGGAATAAGGAAATGTGTGCGAGAGAATGCTTATTTGCAAACTTGGTCACATTCGAGTCAAACACGTCAACGCATTCAAACTGGGCCCAGAACTGCGATATGTTCAATTTGATTAGTGGATTATAATATAACGAGAAAGATTCCCCTTTTAAGAAACTTTCCCATTTTACTGAGATGAATTTTATCTCGTTAAAACGGGAACTTTCCCATCTTAACAAGACATAAAACTATCCTCCTAACAGATCACAGTGTGTGAATGTGTGTGTGAACGCAGAGTGAAGTCCTATGGACTTCATAAAGAGTCATGCAGATCCAAGCCATTTACCGATTTCCATCACGGCTTCTTAAAAAGGCATAAACCGACTCGCCGTGATTCTCCTAAAACTTCCAAGAGGTTCTTCTGGTTTACTGCTGCGACCTTTCTTATTTTTAAGAGAAGATATTTCGGTTTTAATGACGTATAAATCTTGTTATATTGCGTTTATTTTTAATCGTCGTAACGAGAATGTTTCCTGAGATATTTCTCCTGAATTTATCTCCAAACTGGCAGTTAAACACTTCTGTACTTTAGCATAGAGACATACGTTACAGTGGAAGAAAGACTTCTCTGTGCCACAATGCGGTAAATCTACACACAAGTCTTTACGCCTCGTCCACATGTGACGTCTGTCGCGTATGAAAGCTGCTGCGTGGAGACGGTGAGCAGAGAATGGGTAAAATGGGTCAAAGCTTGAATAACACTACTACTGCTGTAATGTGTATGCATGTGTGTGTGTGTGTGTGTGTGTGTGTGTGTGTGTCCATTACAATGATAGAGATGAGTGATGATGAACCTATATGGACACACCAACTTAAACTCCAGCAGCATTCCCTCTTGGGGGATTAAACTCGACTCTTTGGAGAATATAAACCAGCCTGCTGCGTCCTGGGCGATGTCAGTGGTGTGTGTGACCGTGTCCTGGCCCCATTTCTCACACCGGCCTTTGTGAATTCCAAACGACGAGACGCAGAAATGTTATCAGTGTGCGGCGGCGGCGGCCTCTGTACCCACACTCTGTTCGTCCAGGTAAAGCCCATGAATTTTGCAGGAGGCGAGCCGCAGCGGATCCAGGACAGTGTTCACAGGAGGATATAGTGCGTGTGTGTGTGTGTGTGTGTAGGTGTGTGTGTGTGTGTGTGCGTGTGTGTGTGTGTGTAGGTGTGGGTGTGGGTGTGTGTGTGGAGGTTCGTCATCTCCACATATGGATGAGATGCTGATAAGCAGGAGTTATTGGTTTTTAGAGAGTCGGGTGTGTCAGCCAGCCTGAGGTGACTGGAGAACACAGACGTAAATCTCACCACCGGCGTCGACGCGCAGCCGATGTTCCGACTGCCGACTGCGCTGCGCTCGCCGTGGGTGGAGGGGAGCGGCGGGTCCAATTTGCGGTTGCGGATCTGTTTGTTTATCTCTGCTGAGAATAAATAGTATTTTTTTGTCATGCTTGTTGCTGACACAGATGAGAGCAGAAGCAGCAAAGCTTCTGTGATCGCTCGGATTTAGCCGGCTAGTGATGTGTAACTCTCTTTTTCCCCCCATCTTTCTTTCCGCAGTCCGTTCCAAAACCCATCGCCCTTGAGCCTTGCTTTGGCAACAAAGCCGCCGTGCTCTCCATCTTTGTACGGTTACCCAGAGGCTCCGGCGGCATCCCTCCTCCAGGACAGTCTGGTAAGATGCAGCTGCTGACTGCTTTATATTTTTTATTTATTTATTTTTTTGTTTAAAATATTTCCTTTGATCTGACATTCTTCCTTTCTACTGCATTCTGTTGCTTTGGTTAGTCGGAGCGTCACAGTTTCAGTCCTTCGGGCTCCTCCAACCGGTTCACTTCTCTTTTTGTCCTTTGTTGTTCAAATCCTCCTTGGTTTAACAGACACAAACTTTAGTTTTTACCTAAAAATAAACTATTCATATTAAAGCTATGGATACAAACCGTAAGACATTTGCACAGACAGGAACGATGTTTCTTAACAGCACATCAAGTCAACATCGTCTCAACGAACATGTCAGGGATGAAGCAGGGCTTTGAAGTCGGGTTTGGTTACAAAACTATATCCCATGTTTTTTCCATCTTAATCCATTTCTGATGGTGAAATGACTAGAAACCTGCCGGTTCCAACGCGCAGCAGAAAACCTGCTGAGCCTGGCGGTTTGGGCGCATCCAGCAACCTACCGTGTTTTTGAGTTGAAAAATGTTCAAAGTTGACAGGAAATTTGAACATTTGAGAAGGTAATTGTAAATGTGTTGTTGGAAGACATTAACAAAACCCAAACAGCAACTGTAAAGTCTTAGAACTTGAGACAAACATAAAAATACCACATAAATAAACAATGCTTAGCCTGGTGGCCCGCCAGGCTTATTGTACAGTGAGAGAAATCCTGCACAAACAAGATTACACAGCACCTTATGTTTAAGACCAAAACTTAACACTAGACCTGTTTCAACCAAAATTGACATTTTCAGCAGGTTCTCTTTTATACTGCACTATCAGTAATTTTCTACTTATAACTAACGAAAACTTCACATTTAAAGTTACAATAATACATTAGACCAGTGAAAAGAAAACATTTGTAATGAAAAGTATGCTTTATACATCCGTAAGGATTATTTTTAAAGTTACTTTTAATCCAACAAATCTGGGTCGTTCTTTATGAATGCAAAAAACATTACTTTTGCAAACTAATTTCAAATGAATGCTCATTTCATCTCAAGCAGATTACATTAAAATGCTGAAAACCTCACCGTCAGAGCCGCCAAGCAGCACGATGAGGTCGCCGCGTCTCTGTGCAGCCACCAACGGCACACATCATTAACGCGTACTAACTCTCTGAGGCACCGCATTTCCAATCAGCTGTGTTTATCGCTTATGATTAATGCGGTTAACCTCACAGAAAACAAATAGCTGGCAGCAGAACGTGAACTTCCAGAGGAGCAGCCGGGATCACACACCCCCACCTCGCTCCCAGCAGAGGCCGCACGCGTTCGCTCATCGGCTCAGATCGCCCAGACACACGCTGGAGTCATCTCTGCGGATGTTTGGTGGGCGTGAGGGTGGCCATCTTGGAAGCGGCGAGAAGACAGATGTGATGGGAGGCCTCGGCGCAGGCGACGGGAGAGTTTTCCAAAAGCGGCGGCGACCGGTGGGGGAGCGAGTTCAAAGCGTTTTGTAGCGACAGGCGACGGTGGAGCGCAGCTCACAGGGTCTGGACAAACGGCGCCCCCTGGGGGCAGCGCTCTGCCGAGAGCCAGGGCCACTTTTGTTTCGACAAAAGGACTTTATGGTAATTAAAAAGAGCCCAGGGCGCACATGGGGCCTGGGAACTGAAACAGTGAGAGGCAAAGTAACATGGTGGTGGTAAAAAATAAAAAAATAAAAAAGAGAAAAAGAAGTGTTTGCTAAAATCCACGGAGGAAGGAAGCGAGTCAGGCTATCCTGGGGAAAAGGGATAACAAAAATAAATGTTAGATCAAAGGAGAAAAGAAACACAGCAGAGAGACGGTTGAATGCTATTGAAAAATGATAGTTGATGAAAAAAGATTAGTACCGACAGAAAGATTAACGATCGGAGGAGTCTGAGGAAAAAACACCAGACTGATGATGCGTCTTCTGGTCGTTCCTAAAGTACTCACACCTAAAAACACTAAGTTCAGTTTATGTAGATCACTTCTTAAATCAATGGTTCACACTGGATTTTATAAAGGAATTTCAAAGTAAAGGTGTTTAAAGCACAAATCAATTATCAAAATTTTATTTTTCTTCCATTTCAGTGGAATAAACAATACCGTAGATTTTAGACATTTTCCACCGAGTGTATTAATAATTAATGTACATTAAAGCATATTTGATGTTTGAATTTCTAAGCATTTTCAGTCTGAAGTATTCAGGATTCTTATCTACTTCTGGTCCAAAACCCAGTGAATACCTGGGTTCATGTAGGACAAGCGCATTAAAGCTGCAGTAGATAACTTTTATTTACTTGTTTTTGTCATATTTGTTAAAATTGTCAAAATGGGATTCCTCGGTGCAGACATGATAAAATGAAACTGATAATCTGTGAAAAAATCACTCCACCATCTCCTCCTGAAATAACCAATCAGAGCTAGGAGGAGGATCCTAGAACTGTCAATCACACTCATGTACATGTTGCTCTATGTGCTAAGGGTGGAGAAACAACTTACCGTTCCAGAAAAAACTATTTATCCACAGTCTATGCTAAGGCTATGCTAACTAGCTTTAGCATAGACTACAGCTGTAGCATAGCAGGGGTCAAGGCAGAGTGTTACGACCCTCCCCCTGGTTCTGATTGGTTGTTTCTGACCTGGAGTGGTGTGTTTCTGTAGATGAATACTTACTGCAACTTTACAAAAAACAACATTTATGGTGGCAATGTAGCAATGTGTGTGAAACTACGAGGGACTGTAAATGGTTTTCCAAATCGCTGTACATAACTGACACCTACGTAACCATATGTACCGCTGTACATTTTCACCTGTTTACATTGGTGTGTGTGTGTGTGTGTGTGTGTGTGTGTGTGTGTGTGTGTGTGTGTGTGTGTGTGTGTGTGTGTGTGTGTGTGTGTGCAGGCCTGGCGGTGGCCAGCACGCTGGTCGACATCTCCCAGCAGATGTGTGTGGGCTACAAGGAGAAGTCCGGGGGTCTGAGGAGCCGCAAGCAGCAGCCTTCTGCACAGCCGTCCACCTGCATCTGAGCCGACCACCCGCCGCCCCTACACCCAACGCTCTTCATCCCCCCGCCCTGCCCCGCTCCCTCCTCCTCCTCGCTGCTCAGCCTCCCTCCTTCAGAGACTTCTGGCGGGGAGAGGTGCATGCTGGGACATAGTAGTGGAACATTTTGATGAGATCACTCTCTCTCCTTCTCCTCGTACCAGAACCGACCGGGACAAAGGTGGAGGGGTGTTGTGGGGGTTTCGGGTGGGGGTGAGAGAGGACCAGAGGAGGCGCTGGCTCCGCCCCTTCCTCCACGTTTTACATTTGTTAACACGGCCTGGATGGAGTGGAGGCGGCTCGCTGCTACAGCACATCCTCAGTCTCATAGTTTCTAAAGAACAAAAAAAACCTCCAGAGACTCTGCAACCCTAAAATGTTGTTTTAATTTAAATTATTTTTTTGTTGTTCTGCTTTTTTTTAATTTTATGTTATTTTACTTTAAATCGAAGGAACAAACTGGAAAACACTAAACTACACACTCCAAAAAAAAAAAAAAAAAAAAAAATCCACACGGCTTCCCCTGCTGCATCGTTACCCATCTGGAAGCACCGAGTCGCCCCGGGCAACGTTATCTCAAATCCAGTAGCCTTCCGGTTTCGCCGACCAGCAGACGGATGATCCCCTGCGTGGCCACAGTCTGAGGTTTCCATCCAGAACCGCCTTCCTGGAACCGGGCCGGGCCGGACCGGGCCGGACCAGGCGTAGGAAAGGAGACGCTCCCGCCTGCCTGCCTGGGGTCGGCTCAGCAGAGGCCGCCCGCCCTGCCAGTCTGCTTCCAACGTTTCACACACAAATCACATGTACATCCATCGGTAGTTTGTGGACATGAGAAAATGCCGTCCGATTAAAAATGTTCTGGCTTTACAAGCTGACTGCAGCGGTTAGCGCGATGAGCATCATCAGACCAGTAGTTCTGTCTCTCCATTGTTCAAATCATTGATCCTGAATCCTAAACGCTTTGCTTTGAATTAGGATTAGTTAGCCGCTCAGTTAGTGGGGAGGCAACGTACGGCTTCCTGTTGACGGGTCAGGATTTCTACGGTACCAGACCGATTGGAGCAGAATGGTCATCAGGTCTGATTCTGTTTCTTTGTTGTTGTTCTTATGAGTGACTCATTTTACCCCAACATTTTATTTCAGATTCTTTTCTCAGAAAGTCGTAATGAAAACAAACGTTACTGTTGAGCCGGAGGATGAAATTCCACTGATTCAACCAGCCGAGGTTAAAAACACTTCATTTGTTGATCAAAAACATAAAGATGCTGCTATGACCAAACAGAAAGATAAACACATACTTGAAAAAATGTTAATTACTCAGTAAGAGTCAACAAAACATTTAGCACAGCAAGAAGGCTGTAAAACTATTTCCCCTAACTAAATTTAAGGAGAAAAATTTTGTTTATTCTTTTTTTCTCAAACAATAGAAGATGGAGAATCAAAGTCTAGTTATTGCGGCGCGAGTCCATCTGGACACACCGGTCAGAGGCTTCAGGATCATTTCCAGTCTGCGGTTGTTTTCGTCAAACCTTTGAAATCATGAAATCTGCTGAATTTGTCTCCCATGTCATATTCTCTCATGCAGCAGCTCTACCAAAAACCAGCTACTGTTTCTAATTTCTGTTTTTGCATCAACAGTGGCCGGTACTTAAAGCAAAAACCTGCAAAATTAGACGTATCCTTCTGTTGCAGGAGTGAACAAACGGTCTTTGTATCTTCCATCTTCCCCTTTAGCTCTTTTTCGTAATAAAACCCATTTATTTTGGTCTTTCCGACAAATGCTAGCGCCAACGTTCCTCAGTTTTTTGCAAAACCCAGAGAGGTTTTCCGAATTTTGCCTTTTCCAACCGCTGTTTGTAATGTTATTAAAAACATCACAGTAATGAAAACACGGCTAGCGGAAACACAGAAGAGGTTTTTTGTTGTTGTTGCTGTCGCTCCAAAGTAGCGTTTTACAGAACCGGAAAGGACCTGATTTTTAAACTTTTGATTCTGGTCCCGAGACAAGTTTTTTTTTGGATCACATCTCCATTTTTTGTGTTATTTGTTTTACCTTCTCGGGTTTCCTCCTCGATGGTCATCTTTTCCTCCGTTTCTTGCCCAAACACCTGCAGGGTTCTGACAGAAGACAGAGACATAATTTAATAGAGGAAATCCCCCCGCCCGCCTCACTGGGTTATTAACTTCCCGCCCTCTGAAAAGCGCCGTTATGGAACAGTTTAATAACCTGCGTCGTGCCCTAAAGAGCTTGTTGTGTTTGGTTGCGAGTTCTCCCGTGTGCTCGCTGCCGAAGAACTGCGCGGCGTGGATCTGGTCGGTTAAAGGCCACACTTTCAGCGGCGGGAAAAGGTCAGAGCAGAAAGCATGAACAAAGTTGACATTCTGTAATTATAAAGCGCCCCACAACTCCACTCAGCAACTCCAGCAGTCACCGCAGTATTAAGAAGTCAACACTACTTCTGCTGGTTTTGCTTTTTCTCTTTCTTTTTTTTTCTTTTTTCCCCTCTCCACTCATCATATCCATCGAAGTCAATTTTTTTGTTGTTTTTTTAGCATTTATTGCAACATTCGGAAGTACGGTTTAAATCTGCTGCTTCTGCTAAAGCGTGGCGTTTTTAAAAGTTTCTCAGCATCACACACACACGCGTGTGCGCACAAAACGAATCAGTAGTTATAAAATGCATTTTAGTGTTGGATCTCTTTAAGAGAACAAAGGCCTCCCTCCACCGCTTTGCTGCGCTGGATGTTTAATATCAGAGTCTGCAAAGTCATGCGAAAACGTCGCCGCTTTCTCGCGTTTCACAAACTGATTTGCAAATCAAAGATTCTTCATTTATTAGAAACTGGAAAAATGAACAAAAAGAAACATGCAGTATGTGTTGGGAGCAGATGGCGACCAGAATAAAGATAACCTGCGCGGTCCGGTTACCGTAACAATGACTGATGTCCTGCTGACCCCTGTATTGCTCTATCTGGCTTTTGCAGCTTTAGCAGGACTTTGAATCCAACAGCAGCAGCGTTTCATGTTCTATTTACTATTGAGGAGCTTCAGCACCTCGGTAACCGCCATGAAATTACAAGCAATGCTTATGTTTGGGGTTTTTATTTCATAAACATCACCCACTTTATTTATTGTGAGGTAAAACGACTAAAAAGTGTCTGGTTTTTTTTTAACTCCTAAACGATTGTACAACTAAATGAAATGTTCTCAGCAGTCTCAGGTTTTAGGATAACTGAGCGTCATATCAGAATAACCCACTGATGTGTTTTGGAGTCGTGTTCTCGACATTGATGAAACCGAGAAACACTAAATATGACCTCAGATTTACCGTCAGCCGCCGTGTTTCCTCAGTGTTCGGACGCATTGTGAGAAAATAGGGGAATGTAAATGAAATATTGCAATGTCAGCACTTGGACGTTTCACCTCCAGCTCTGTTTTTTTTTTTTTTTTTTTTTTTTTTGCTTTGTAAGCGGTCTGTATAGGAACATGTAGGTGCAAGCAACCTGCTGGTTGATTTCATCTTAAATTAGGATTGCTGAAGCATTTTAACCAGCTAGTATCAATCGCAGCCAAACAAGTCCAGGAGGCCTGTTTTTGTTGTTTTTGCCGAGTCATGAAGAGATAGTTTTTTTTTTTTTTTTTTTTTAAAGTCATGGAGCAGTTTTACCTCAACTCTTCCATCTTATTCAAGTCTGTTGGACTACAGGTTTTCAAAAAACACTTATTTTGTTTCAGTGCCAACAGGTACAGTGTTAAATTATTGATATTAACAACAAACAAAGATGGAAACGAACACAGACCATAGACATTGATTACTGGTGATGCTCTTCTCAAATGATCAGTTTCCAGTTTCCCATACTTTGGCAGCTTTTCCCCCCAAAATTGAAATTGGCATTTTTTTTTTTTTTTTTTGTGGCAATTTTAATTTTATTAGCAGGAAGGCTACATCGAATTGGCATCTTAAATGTTTTCAGCATCTTAAATGTTTTTAGCTTTAGGCTAGCAGTTAGCATACCGAGCATTGCTAAAGAAACTGATATTGGTCAAATTTCCAAAAGGATTCCAGGACGTCAAAGTCGGATTGAAAACAAGTTGAAAGTGTAACTGTGTTTTTCTCCTCTCCATCTTCCTGTTCTCTGCTGAAATTCTGGCTCTCACCTTTATGAGCCACAGACGATTCTGGACATGTCTTGCATCTCTGTGTTTCCTCTGACCTTTTGGTAAACTGAATGCCGCTAACTTTGAATTGTCATTACTTTGACCGTTATCCACACCTTTGGAGCAATCAAACCAAAAATCGTCCATATTCCCCCAACAGTGGATTCCTTGGTGCGTCCCTCCTGCACCTTCCAAAACAAGTTGAATGTTAATCTGTCGATGTTCGGTCGACTGCAGGTTTCCACCAGTGGATGGTATTTATTGTGGACCAGCAGTAGGAAAAAGGCATGCGTCTGTCCAGCTGGCAAGTTTTTTTTTTTTAGCTATGTTGCTTTTAGAATAAAACTGAAAACTGCACGTTGCTTTGTGTACAACAATGTGGACCCGGCCCTCAACATCTTACCGATGGATTTGTTTTAAATATTGCATGGGGGAATGGCACAGGAAGTGCAAGGGGAGACTTTATTGCAGCTACTAAAACACACAAGTTCTTACCTGGCCGTGATGTGCAGGCCGACGAGAGTTGTAAATGTCTTTTTTTTAATTTTTTTTTTATGAATTAATATTAGGAAGATGTTTTGGCTTCATTTTATTTGTTTCTTTGCCAACTTAGACATCACCGGTTTAACAAGTCAGATCTAAAGAGCACAAAACATCCCCTGGTATCTGTAAGACTTGAGCCTCTTGACCTTCTCCCTCTGAGTGTCGCACATGGAAGCGCGGACCCGACCGAAAACATGAACTTTACTGTTCGAGCGCCTTCCCCGTGTCGTGTTAAAGGACTTCCCCCGGTCCTAAAGTTCAGATTTTCCACACAATTACCTCCCGCCAACATTTGCAGCCACCCGAGTGTGAAGTGGCCCCCGAGCTGCTCTAAATATCTGAGGGGATGGATGGAGTGTGTGTGCGTGCGTGTCTGTGTGTGTGTGTGTGTGTGTGTGTGTGTGTGTGTGTGGTGTGTGCGTGTGTGTGAGTTTGGGGTTGGGACCACGTGTAGGAGCCTTGTCCGCTGTCACCTGGGTGTTTGCGTGAAGAAATGGGCAGCTTCCTCCAATCGATCTCACTTACCGAGCCTCAAACTCTCTGCCAGGTAACTCCCTCACTTCTACATCGGCCTTACTTCCACTCTCTGATCTCTTGCTTTATCCTCTTGAAGTGTACAGACAAATATTTATAAATCCTCATGGAAATATTGTCTAACTTTAACACTACACGTAGATTTCTTTTTGTCAAACACTGGCAGCATTAATGCGTATTTAAAAAAACTTTGATGCACAGGTTTAAAGCATCCCAGTAGGATCATTGTAAAATCAGGCATTACCCTCTTTCCTCTCTCTGTCTCTTTATATAGCGGCATTATATATATTGAGGAAGTAGTTTGTTAATATGTATAATTTAGCACTTGCTGTTCTTTATTTGTAAATAATGAGAAAGTATTGTGAATGACTTTTGAATGGGTTTTTGATTCATTTAAGGCAAGTTCCATTCAGGCTTTTAAACGTGTGATTACAGCACATTAGCATATTTTGTATGTCTGACAGCACTGTAAGGCGAACCAGCATCACTAAAAGCTGATGAACAACATGTGAAACCTGAGAATGGCTTACTGACCTTGTAATTACTGATGTACATAAAAGAATGACAGAACATTTTGTCTATTATTAAATGTGAAAATTTCACCCGCTGCTCTGCGTCCTTCTGTCTGGGTTTCATATTTCAGTCGAGGATCTTAGATGTAAGGGTCTCCGCCGACTGGTCTGGCGCTTTGCTTCAATAGACGACATTTCAAACAGCTCCAAGCTCATGAAAAGATGATTTTATAAATCTTTAAACCATCGTCATTCTTGCATTTGGTGGTTATTAATTAAAATCCTTCCATCTGTCTTTTAGTTTCCACTGAACTCAGGATGGGGTTTTGTGGTCAAACAGAAAAGTCCAGACTTCCCTTGTCCCAGCTCCTCTGGGGGAATCCCAAAGCGTTCCCAGACCTCAGACTGTCTCTGAAGTGTCCTCCCGGGTCTTTCTTCAGGTCTTCTTCCAGTGGGGACGTGCCTGGCACCCGAGGTCCAAAAGGCCCCTTTGTTTACGAGGCGCCACGATAAACTGAGTCTCTGCTGTGTTGACCAGTTTTGATCATTTCAAACTTTGAAAAAAAAAGGGATGAGGTGCTAAATCTGGCTATTTTGCTAAAAGCCTATGTTTTACACAAGGTTGAACAGTTTTTTAAAAAAGTGTTATTAGTCAAGAACCTGACGGGAATGGGGAAGAGATACACGGCAAAGGTGCTGGGATTGCTGGAGGAGGACGGCACCAGCACCAACTGCTCACACAAAGGACGCAGTGCTAAACTTGTTGACTTTTTCCAAAATAATTTTGAGGGCACTTGTGACCGTTATCATTGGACAATTACGATCGAAAGAAGGGCCGTAATGGTCCTTCCTTGGGGGTCACTAGGAAGGACCGTTATCCTTGAGGGTCCTTCCTAGTGACCCTGAAGGAAGGGGATGAAGACACACCGCGAGGACTTGAACTTGAAACTCATATTGTCTGTTTACCGGGCCTGCGCTAAGCTAACCACAGCGAGCGGATCATGACATCTGACCTTACAGATAGTTGTAAGGTCAGGATGTCATGATCCACTCACTTTCCATTTATAATTCATCTCAAAGCCGAGATGTTTGGTGAAGAAAAAAGAAAAACATGTTTCCTAAATGTCCCGGAGCCGCGTCGCGCACATCCATAAACAAGGCGAGATGACGATAATTGTCTGAACGAGACTCGGGTGTCAATCGCCGCAGCGGGTGCTGCGATGGTGCCGCGATGGCGCCCTCTGAGTTAAAAGTGCTGCTTAGAAAGGAAGAAGGTGTTTCTTCCCCCCACCGTGTTGAACTGGCATATTGTCGCGCACGCCCCGGCTCCTCCAAGTGGGATGAAACAAATGTTGGGAGTAATTATTTGTAAATAGGCTTTTCCTCGGGCCTGTTTTCAAATGATCGCTGCTATTTTTAATGCGGCGCTTGATGTTTCCGCGAGGCCTCCGGCGACGCGGGAGAGGCTGAGCGTCGCTCTGTTCTCACCACCAATTATTCATCAGCAGTCATCCCCCATCACTCCTTCATTCCACCTCTCCCTTTAATCTCTTCCTCCTTCTCCCTCACTTCAGGGCTCCTTTTGTTTCTCTCTGTCACTTGATCTGCTCACTTCTCCCTCTTTTCTCATTCCCCCCCTCACCTGTCTTCACTTAATAATAATAATAATAATAATAATAATACTTTACTCCAAATCCAATAATCTTTTCAATACCTTTACTTTCTTTGCTCTGCTACCTCCTCCAAACCCAGTCCGCTCTGACTTCCTCTCTCCTTTGCTCTTCTCTTTTCATCTCTACTCCTCTATTCCCGTCTTCTTTCACTTTCCTTCCTCTCACTTCTTTTTGTAACTTATGGAAGGTCAGTGTGTCAGGGCTCAGTGTGTCGCCTCACTCTCACTCCTTCCTTCCTCCTCCCTTTCATCTTCTCAGCAGCCAGTGTTTACTGCACAGGTCGTTCGCATTTCATGTGATGGAGCGACTCAAAGTAATCCATACTTCTGAAGTGAAAGGAAAATATGCTCCCTGACTTCTAAAGACTAAAACTTTTGCACTCACTTCTCCGTAAAGATTTCTCAGGACGGAGGAAGCCTGTGAACATCGATTTTCAAGTCTTGCTACA